TATATGTATATATGTTATACACTTTCCAGATTCACTTGTTTGTGTTAGTAAGATGGATGGCTATGTACATTCATTTAATAAATAAAATAATGGCTTATAATGACAGTGAGAGTTATTGGGGAGGATAATAGTGAATATTTCAGGGGATCAAGCTTGCGCATGATGATTTTTTTTTCTGTGAAAATTGAAGTTATGATCCTGAATTACTGCAAGGACTATAATTACAAGAACCATACTGCTTAGAATTACAAGTCTATTAAGGGGTATTAAAGATCACCACAATAACAACTGTGGTAATTTTGGGTCCGATTACCTATCTAGTTGCAGGGAACAAAAATAATCCCATTCCTCCAAAAAGATCTGCTTCTAGAAAACATTCATCATAATTTAATAAGTCTTTAGTAATTATCTTATCTGGCTCTTTACATAGATTATTGTTAATAAATTCATTTTCTATTTAAATGAAGAGTAAAACAAATGGGGAAATTCCACCTTTAGCATTATTACAATATACAAAAGGATGGAAAATCTTACTAATAAAATTTTCATTAAACAATGTTAATAGTTCCCAGATGAAATATTAGGTATTTTATATGAAATGATCGTCTAGCATACAATTAATTTTGTTAAAAATACATTGGAAGAATGTAAGTGAGGTCACAGTACCCTTTTTTAACTGTCCTTTAAATAACCTGAGATTAACATTATAAATTGATTTCTTTTTATTATATATCATCATTTCCTAATGGGTCAGCATGAAAGCACTGGTATTCATATGGGTTTGTTCAGAAATGAACTGAAACTGATACTCTGAATCACAGAGCTCCTGTTTAAATACTCACATTGTTTTTCATGATTACATATAATTTTAGAAAAAGACAAACAGAACAGACTTATGTTTGACCAACAGAGCAATGTTTTTAGTACACAAGGAGGAATATTTATAAAAGAACAATTAAAAAAGAATTGGGCAGGTGTGTCAATGCATCCACATTTAGGATCAAGACTGTTTTTATATACAACATGTATATATATGCAATGAGAATGTTAAAGGACAAAAATTAAAAGTTAGTGATTAAACTCACAGTTGGACAATGGAAAGAACATTTTTCAGAACTAAACAGAGTCACAAAACATTGTGACTTGTACAGAAGCTGTCATCAGACCAGATGCTACAAAGGGCAGGATGGAGTAGGGTTTACAAAAATTAAATGAAACACTGTGGCCATAAGAAGAGCTTTATAGCTCCCGCTGCCTTAAGAAAATTCAAAACATTTTTGAAGATCCATATCATCCTGGGCACCCATTTTTTTTGAACTAATACCATCTGGCAGATGGTACAGGATAATAAAAACAAGGACAAATAGGCTGAAAAACAACTTCTATCCCAGGGCAGTAACTATATTGCATTCTACAGTATAGTGCAATATTAATGCAATATCGGGTTTTCAATTTTAGTTATATAGAATGTGAAGGATATGAGTTTGTGTTTTTATTTTTATAGTTATAATAAACTGAAGATGGCATTTAATTTCATTGTACAATGTGCAATGACAATAAAGTAAATTAAACTATAACTGCTAGAGAATGTAATGGAATTCTCTGAATCCTTAACTCCCTCTTCAGTTGGTTAAAAAAAAAATCACATCTCTATGCCTCTGCCCTTGTAGTTACTAGTTATAGCACATGTGTAGAACTATAATTTGTATTTTACTACTGTTTGTTATGTGTACCATACAAAGATAGCAATGTGTTTTCAGATTATTGTTACAAAGTGATTTATAGATTTTTTTTACAACAATGAACAAGAAAAGGCTACACATAATACACTTTAACGATTAACAAACAAAAAAGGTCTACTATTTCCAAATAAGAGTGTTAATACTTGCTCTCTAGTTGCTTTTCTTATGATCTGAAAATAGAATTTGTGTACTATTTGCAAGACAGCTAGTGATATAGACAAGCTGAAATCAAGCTCTCCAGTTCTCTCTCAAAACTAAGAGTTGTTCTAGTTAAAGATTTCTTCGCAAAAGTGCAAAGTCTGAATATAAAATGTGTATTGCAATTTCTAACTACCTTTGGTAATATTTGTAGACACACCTGGCATGATTAATCTTTGCTATATTCTCATTATACTTGTGAATGATAACAATATTGGCAGCATAGGATAATTCATACTGTTCACTAGCCAGATGATGGATAGAAATTAAGCATGTCAGTTTAAGAAAATATTATTATCCACATTGCTGCAGCTGTAAAATTGCACTACAATACAAAAAGTGAGAAACAACTTAAGTTTGGTGAAAAAAATTCTTTTTGAGCCTTCTGAATTGAATTGAAGAATATTTTTAACTCAGGAAAGCAAATTCCATATCTAGCATATCTCAATATTTTTTAAGAACATTGTTGACAAACATGGAAGTTTGTTAAAGAATTCTGACTCATCTTTTCATATGTCACTTTGTTTATATATTTGAATTCTGAAGCAAATAAAAAGTATCAATATTTACATAGTTCTAGAATCACATTTTAACATTACCAAAATAACTTTTTTTATTTAAAATTCAATTTAATTGTAATTCTTTTTAAAGACATAATTTTAGCATGAAATCCATATGTACAATTATTGATTCCATTATGTTTAAAGACTTTTTGAAGCATCAATGTCTCCATCAATTTTACAACAGGTTTTGTTACTATCTTAATAAGCACACATCAGACACACATAAAAATGGTTATCCCAACTTTCTAATTCTTTATCAGCCTACAAACTAAAACTTAATTTAGATTAAATTTTTGTCCAACCTCTTTTTACAGAGATTAAAAATAATTCAATTAAAATATTTGTATGTAGGAACTATATGAATAAGCATGTTTTAATATAATTAATTATTTCAATGTTTTACTTCATTTGATCTTTGTTGAGCCAGACTTGATTCCTGTTGCATGCATGCATGCATACTTGCATACATGCATGCATACTTGCATACTTGCATACATGCATGCATACATGCATACATGCATACATGCATGCATACATGCATACATGCATGCATACATGCATACATGCATACATGCATACATGCATACATGCATACATGCATACATGCATACATGCATACATGCATACACTGCTTGTCCCAAAGTGCTTTTTCAAGAGGCAACTACACTTTTTTGTTTTTCTTTGAAGACATTTTGCTTCTCTCCCAAGAAGCATCTTCAGTTCTGGATGGTGGGAAATAGAAGGATTTATACCTTTATAGCACATTTGAGACAATCATGACTGAAAATCTCCATAGACAAATACAATGCTTAGAATTTCTTATGCATGTTACGAAAAGATACAATATTGCAATATGTTAACCGGAAATAAAGGAAAACTTACCCCTAAATATAGTATTATTCCATAAAACATAAATTTCCAGAAGAAACACCTTCTAAGAGCATTGATGAGTTTGGGTTTTTTCTTTGAGGCCAATTCTCTGTCCCATTCTCTGAGGGGGAAAAAAAGGAACATTGAATTATATGGCCAAATAAACCATTCTTTGGCCAGCATAGTTTATTTCACCCAAAGATATCCAAGGAGATTTAGTTAAGGAATCTATTGAATTCAAAGCTCTGCAAAGACCCCCAAGGACCTGGTCCTCTGTGACATGATAGCTCAATAAAAGTTCAAGTGTAGCTCAGTTAAATATTTGGCAATGGAAATACTTCGTTACACATCATTCTGCAGAAAGTTAATTCATTAAAAAGGTCACAGTGTATGTTTTAAAGAAACCTGTTGTACTTCTTCAGACCACTAAACAAATAATAGGTTTTGGATTGCTTCCAGTACCAAGGGAAAGCAAGGGAAAAAAGACAATTCAATTCTGTTTTGTTTTGTTTTTAATAAAGCATGTTAGCTAACATTGAAAACCTGTGTAATTCAACTCTGAATGATGAATTTTTAGAATCAGTTTTCACAGATAATACAATTATTTATGAAATATAAAGTAATCACAACATTTAGATACTGATAAAATTTCCAATCAAAATGGAATTTGATCATTTCTTAACTACACTGAATATAATATGGGAATTAAGTAATACCAAAAAGCAACTGATATGACAGATTATACTCAGGCATTTTTTCAAAAGTGATTTAAGACATTACTCTGTCATAGTGTAGCCCAGCCGCTGCTGAAGACATGTAAAACCATGACTTCATTACTGTTATTTACAGAAGAGTCACATAAGTCTAGGAGAGACTAATGTATCTTTATGGAGAATTTATTTAAGCTGCATCTTTTAAAGAGACCACTAGAGTTTTCAATGGGATAACCATTCTAATTAGGGAGAAATTTCAGAGTATTGAATCCATGCATAATTTTTTTCCAGGTCCAGCAGTTGGTATGGGGTTATAATTGATAGGATGATTACTTTGGGGTGCAAAATTTCAAATAATCATCAAAAGTTTCTTTTTGTTTTTGGTACTATATAGGATTCTATGGAGTTTCACAGTCAAATTTGATAGTTTAAATAAGTTAGCTTATTAAAAGCTGTTTATCCAACCTCAAACATGTTGACTTAAGCCTTACGCTTCAACATTCTGTCTGAACTATAATATGTGGACCAGGAGGCTCTGGCGCAAAACAGAGACCTCTAAGGTGTATTTCCTTGATGTATCAGTCTTTTTTATGCCAAAAGCATCATGCCTCTCAATGTATATTCATTGTTTCAAGTAAATAAAGTAACTAACCAGGAAACAATAAAGTAAAGTAACTAACCAGGAAATGATCTGATATTAAAATTTTATCTTGTACAAGATAAATGTTTTTAGTTGAACATCAAATCTCCACAAAACAAGTCATTCATTTGGTTATGCAACTCCAGTTCTCTGACTAATGTAACAACAAGAATTAAGGATGTTCAGTTTGTGATCAGAATGACTCTTTAGTCAACTTCCATTGAAAAAGGAGTAACATAATCATAAATTACATAATCATAAGATGCTGAGCTTGTCGATCAGAAGGTCGGCAGTTCAGCGGTTTAAATCGCTAGTGCCGCGTAATGGAGTGAGCTCCCATTACTTGTCCCAGCTTCTGCCAAACTGGCAGTTTGAAAGCATGTAAAAATGCAAGTAGAAAAATAGGGACCACTTTGGTGGGAAGGTAAAAGCGTTCCGTGTGTCTTCAGCATTTATTCATGCTGGCCACATCACCATGGACAGCTCTGGCTCTTCGGCTTAGAAACTGAGATGAGCACTGACCCCCTAGAGTTGGGAACGACTAGCACACATATGCAGGGGAAACTTTACCTTTAATCATGAATGCTCTGATAAATTTTAAGTAGCTAAGATGCAAGGTAAGATTTTTCCATAATTAATTATTTACTTACTTATTATTTTACCCTGAACCAGAGAAAGTTTTCCATTTATACAATAGCAGAGTTGGAAGGGACCTTGGAGGTCTTCTAGTCCAGTGTTTTTCAACCTTTTTTGTGCAAAGGCACACTTTTTTCATGAAAAAA